AAAAAAAAAAAAAAAAGAAACAAGAAGAAAAATGAGAAGATACCATTCCAGGTAAAGAAAAGAAATTAAGAATATCTTAAAAAAGAAATATATATATTTAATATATTGAGTCTTGTTTACGCCAAACATGTCGTCCAATTCTATTCCTTCTTGGGTTTGCTTTGGTTTGCTTTGGTTTCCTTTGTTGCTAGAGAACCCATTAGTATAAAGAACCTTCACTTTCCTCACAGACTCCCCACGCTCCTTCTTCTGCTTCTTCTGCTTCTTCTGCTTCTTCTTCTGCTTCTTCCTCTTCTTCCCTTTTCTTTTCTTTAATTTCCCTTTTGCTTTTTCCATTTTATGCCTCTTCTTTCTTCTCCTCCCCTTTTCCCATGATTCTGTTTCTCCAATTATAAGAACGCCCCCCTTCACCTGCACCACTTGTACCAATTTCGCCTTTCTTCCTCTTCCTCTTCCTCTTCCTCTTGGGCCCCCATGGAGAAGCTTAATTTTCTCAAAAATGGCGTCCTCCGATTGCCCCCTGGCTTCCGCTTCCACCCCACCGATCAAGAGCTTGTGCTTCAATACTTGAACCGGAAGGTTCATTCCTGCCCTTTGCCCGCTTCAATTATCCCTGACGTCGAAGTTTGCAAGGCCGATCCATGGGATTTGCCTGGTTTGTTTTCTTCTTTTTACAAATTGGAAGTGGGGATTTCGGGATTTCGGGATTTCGGGATTTCGGGATTTTGTAGTGATGGATGGGAAATTGATTCTGTGTTGCAGGGAATATGGAGCAAGAGAGGTACTTCTTCAGCACCAGAGAAGCCAAGTATCCTAATGGGAACAGATCAAACAGAGCGACGGCCTCGGGTTATTGGAAGGCCACCGGAATTGACAAGCAAATTCTTACTTCCAACGGAAATCAAGTGGTGGGGATGAAGAAAACTCTGGTTTTCTATCGAGGGAAGCCCCCCCATGGCTCTCGAACTGATTGGATTATGCACGAGTACCGCCTCGCTTCCCCGCCAACTGTTTGTTTTAATGCCTCACAGGAAAAAACCCCCTTTCAGGTGACTTTAACCTTCTCGGTATTTTTATTTTGTTTTGTCTCCATGGAAATGTTGCCCTTTTTCTTTATATTCTAAGGATTTTGGACATGGAGGTGGTGGTAACGATAGTTCAAATTGTGTGTGCAGAGGTCTGGCGTGGGTCCAATGGAGAACTGGGTTCTATGTCGCATATTTCTGAAGAAAAGAAATGGGCATCAAAGCGAAGAGGAGAAAAACAGAAAGGCAAGATTGGGGAAGCCTGTGTTCTATGACTTCATGAGGAAGGAGAGGGGGGAGACAGACTTGAATTTGGCTCCCTCTTCCTCGTCTTCAGGGTCCAGTGGGATCACTGAGATTTCAAACAAGGAATTGGATGATCATGAAGAAAGCAGCAGCAGCAGCAGCAGCAGCAGCTGCAACAGCTTCCCCTACTTCAGAAGAAAAGCTTAAGATCCTTTAGGTGTAGCAGTAAATTTGTGTGATTTCCCATGTCGGAATAACCATGAAAGGAAGAAGAATCCCGCAGTCGTTGGTGGTGTAGTTTTCAGTTTTCTGGTCTGTGTTTCTGTAGACATAATATATGAATCAGTATATGATTATAAGCCAAGAGAGATGAATGAACTGGATCGGCGTTTAACTTGCTCTGTTACTACTGACCCAGACAAACAAAAACCGAACACTATCTAGCTCACGTTCCAATCCATTCATTGGGTTATCAAATAATGTTGCTACGTTTTGCATATTAACTTCAACTCTCCATTGCAGCGCAAGCCATGCAGCTACAAAGCCGACAAAAAAAAGAAAAAAAAAAGAAGATGGGAGGAAAGTGGAAAGGGTTAGGGGAAAAGGAGGAGAGAAAGAGGGAAGAGTTGCAAATATTTTAAGAAGAAGAAGAAGAAGAAGAAGAAGAAGAAGAAGAACGCGATCTGATCCTTTTTGTTTGAAGGAAACCAAAAGAAAAGGAATTGACTCTGAGAATTAAAATAAATAAATAAATAAATAAATAAATAATCAGAGAATAGAACCCAATTCTAAGCTGAGTATATATGCTGATTTTTAAAATCTTCAAAGCATTTTGTTTCTTCGAGTTCGAATCCTTTTATAATCTCTAATTATAAAACAGATTAAAAACCAATAATAATAATGATAAAGTCAACTTTGATTGTTCCAAACGTCAGAGCAATGTTCCCCATGCCTTCCCTGTTCATTTAACGATTTTCTGAAAATAACCCTTCATTTTCTTTCATTTTAGATTCTTTTCTTCCTCCCCCACCCATTTCCTTGAGTCCCACAAAATTATAAACCTTAATTGACTCCCAACTACTCCCTACATCCATTTAAATACAGTATGAAGCATAATTAAGTGGGAATGAATTAATTAATCGTACGTTGATCTTCGGGTGATGAAACCTCGACACGTGTCGAGCATGCAACGCCTCGCCGGCCTGCGCTCGACTCACCCACCGTCGCCGTGCGCATTAGTTTTATAAAAACAAAACTGATGAAAGGTTTTTTAATTTTCTTTATTTTCCCTTAAACTATGTGACAGTGTGTATAATAAGGGGTGGGTACACATTGTACGCAAAGATCGTGATATCATATGCCGTGGAGGTTAGAAACGTGGCCCACACACCAATGAAGGGCCGCCAGATGGACACCAAGAACCCAAAGGGCGGCCTATTTAACGCTTAAAATAAAGGATTCCTTGAGAGTCGGGTTAATTCCGCTTGCAAAAATTTTTTAAAAATAAAAATAAAAACGAATTCTTTGGAGACCGAAAACAAATGGCTAATAAAAATCTACGATCAAGTGGTTGAAGGGGGAAAACAAAAAATTGACCAAAACAAAAAGGAATGGTTAATGCTTGTCAATTTTGTGTTGCCTTATTTTTGCCCAATTTCAGTGCTTTTAATCAACTTTTAGTTAATTTTAATTCCCTTTTATTTCTTCTTAAATCAGTAATGAAGCAAGTCAATTCATCATACTCTCCAAATCTATCCTTATCAATCCTTTGCTTAACCTCTCTGGGGAACTACTTCGTTCATGGGTTGGGTTTGAGTTTGTGTGGTCTTCGATTGTGAATTTAAATCTATATTTAATATGTAAACTTATCTCATCTCTTTCCGTGCTATGAGTTTGCTATATAAGTTTACGAGTTTGCTATATAAGTTTACGAGTTCGGTAAGCTTCTTCCTAATTATACACGTACTTTTACAAATCACAAACCCACAACTTGCAAAACATAAACCAACACATCCAATAATTTCAAGCTACACAAAATTAAATACTTTGAGTTCATACACAACCGCTTCAAAGAAAACCTACACCATATAATTTTATGTTACATCAAAAGATATCAAAGAATCCAATCTAGTAAAAATCTATGGGTTTGATTTCATTTATATATTAATTGGACATTAACACATCCAATAAAAATGAGTTAAAAAGGGGAAGGAATGATTCATAGAAATCATTCTAAACAAGAAAGGGTTTTTAATTTCTTTTAAAAAAGAGGCATAGTCAATATAAATAGGCAGTATTTAAATAAATAAAGAAAATGGTGGCCTTGGAATTTCTTGTGATGGAAGGTTAGAATCTGCAAAGGCTGTTGAAGTTCATCACGTCACCTTTATGTGAACCAATTTCATTGTCAGAAGACAAAAAAAATAAAAAATAAAAAATAAAAAAAAATAAAAAGGAAGAAAGAGATGAGGAATTGGATTGGATTGTGGATTGCTGACTTCGGGTTTCTCATTTGTCAATCACGTGGACAGCACGTCATGGTAGACCACAAAACTTACAGCTATAACTTTTAATTTTTTTAATTTTCTTATGTAGGCCAACCTGATAAGATCAATAACATTTAAAGAAAACTCCCACCAATCCTAGAAACATATGAAAAGGCAACAACAAAGGGGGTGGTCTCCATCAAGCAAGGCCAATTTACAAATTTTGAACACAACTAAATTACCCATCGCAGAAGGAATTGTGATGAATTATGCAAGTTGACCAGTTCTTCACCCAACCACTCTTATAAGCTGTTTGATTTGGACGAACATTAAATAAGAGAGGTTGCTTTGCATCCCTGCAACAAAGACATCTATCTATCTTTCTTTTTATACCTATTCTTATCTTTCTTTTTATACCTATTCTCACCAAAATCAAAGCTAAAAATCATCTTAATCCCATCCATCATCCCACAAAGTTCTGGTTGGTGGGGTCCACTAACTGTAAGCAAGTGAGGAACAATCAGCCTCCCCTTTCACATCAATACATCAACGTTTAATCAACCTACTCATACTCTTCTCCAGTTCAATGGTTAGTAAATGCCTGACATTCTGAGACACGCATTTCCAACTTTTAATGGAAACACTTCGCCACGAATGCAATACTCAAATTAAATGAAAACTGGGCAGAAAGGTAGTACCTGTAATTGGCCACATTTCATGCCCAGCGGTTATAATCAAAACACTCCTGCAAAACAAACCATCTTCAAGACTCTTGGGGAGTTTAGATGCTTCAGCCTGATATACAAGTAGATGAGGAAAGATATCTCCAATCTCCATGATGGAGGGCAACCCTATCTACCATTTAGATGCGGAGTACCACTTGCCGTATAATACAAGTTAAGCTTTCATGTACCGAACTGTACAAACAAGTTTATCCTGAAATTTCTTTTAGCTGCATTTACCTCAGCAACAGGTAAAGTATCATCATATTGAGGTCTGAATTCAAACAGAATAACCATCAAGGAAAAAGTCCCTAAACAACTTCGAAACAAATTAGAACTGTATGCAAAGTCCATATCGGTCCAGTAGATACAGTAACTAGAGCTGTTTTCTCCTAACCTATTTACCTCAATAAGAATTTGCATTATCATATTCATATTTTCTGCCAATCAAACATAAAGGAGTACGTATTTCAATACAAGTTCACATAATTCAATCGTCCATCAACCCACCTAGAAGGCTCATTCTACTCCATCATACAAAACCCATCTCATGTTTTTAAAGGTTGTGACTAGTTAGAAATATACTATACGAACACTAGAAAGGATGGACATTTTTCTTGAAGGCTGGTCTTTCTTTTCCAATTCAGATATTTTCAGCCCGAAACTTCCATTTTCAATGGTGAGTTTGCTCAGAAAGCTAAATATCAAATATTTTTACTGAAAGACGAGTCATTCATGAGGCAGCCAGGACCATGAAAAACTAATCGCATTAAATCAAATGACAAAAACAAACAAAAATGGTGAGAAACTCCAGGCAATAATTCCACGCTAGTGTGTTATCTTCGCTTACATGCGAGGATTACAACTTTTGAGATCACTCGTATCTACTTAATGTTTACTCTTCCTTGCTAAAAGGTCCAGATAAGGGGAAAAAGATTGGCACTGCAATGCCGAAGTTGCCAAACTCTTTTGGATCCTACAGAGTTCTTACTCATTTTTTCTAACTTGGCTAATTTTATCTCCTGAAGATTTAGGCGGAGGTGGCTCAGAACATGCCTTCAGAACAGCCTCATTCTGGAAAGAAGGAAAGATACGAATTTAGTTACATCAAAAAATTTAAACGATGAATCTAGAATTGGTAGTGTTCCATTTTATAAAATAACAATATATAAAACAAGAACAAGAGCAGAACAGAAATTCGAAATAGAATTCCATGGTAACGACCAAAAGGCCAAGCATGTACATCTCCAATGTAAAAATACAGAGGTGTAAAAAAATAGAAAATTTGGCTTGGTTCGAGAATGAACCACCTTCAGATGGATGCATTTGCGAACCATAATTTATACAAGTCATCTAAAAATAAAATTGTATTCGCTCCTGAACAATAAACAGTCAAAAGCCGCAATTTTCACCATACATAAGACTAAACAAATACCTCCACAATATTGTTAGAAAGAGAAAATCCACTCATGAAGAGTAATCAAGACTTAACATAATGTCCTTTTTAGCATATAAATTTGACAATCACAACAAGATAATTCGATTAAGTCAGAAGTAATTACTTGAACCTTTTAGTCACTTTGCCAGGACTTATAGAATAGTACAGATTATCCTTTCTGATACAATTCTAACAGCTAAATAGTGAATATCTATGCTGACCCTCAAAATTTTTATTTCACCAAATAGACATTCCACTTTAAGCCGACCAACTATAAACTTAAGGAGGCAAGAGATAAGGCTAATGGGCCAAAAGTCTCTTACTATTCTTACATATGATTTCCTTAGGGATAGGGTTTGTATAAGCTTCCTTCAAGGACTTGTGAATGATATTATCAGGGGGAAGATATATATGTAGTACACCTTCGGATGTTTCTAAGACGTTTTTGAAGAACTCAACAATAAATCCATCAAGACCCAGAGCCTGTTGGAAACCAAGCCATAAATAGAAAGAAAATTTTCCTCCTTTGAAATCAGCATTTAGGGGTGAGCTTTGAGCAATGGAAGTTGGTTTCATTCCAAGTTTGAAGCTAGAAATCTGATCCCCTTTTTCATAATTCAGTCTATGAATGAAATAAGAAATTGTTTTTTCGTTTAAAGGTGCTTGATAAGGCTGCGCCATCCAGACTGAGGATTTCAAAGAAAAACTTTCTTCCTCTTGCTGTCAATTATTATATGTTAGTTGGAAACTTCATCTCCTC